TGCTGGTAGCTCTAGTGAAGGTCAGATCATGGCTGGTTAGTGCTGAAGGGGCAGGTAACATCAGGGACAGGCTTCCAGGTCTAGAGACCATGAACCAGCCCCAGGGAATTCTGGCTTGTCCCTTTGGATGTACCCTGTCCTATGGGGCTTGGGCTGTGGCCCCACTAAGCAGGCAGACAGAGCAGGGAGGTTCTGAGGGACCGAGTGGAAATTACCCAGAAGAGCCAAAGTCAGAATTCCACACCATCTCCACCCGACAGCATCAGCACCGGAGTGAAAGTGAGCTGCCTGCTGCTGCCAAATCCACCTCTGAGCGCCCTGCCCCACCTCCTGACCGAGTGCTGCTGTACCTCCCACCGCAGAAGCCAGGCCTCCTGGTGGCACAAAGTCACCCGCTGAGAGCAAAGAAAGACCCGAGACGTCAAAAACACCCAGTGTGGTCCTGACCCGTGACAGGCCGTACTGCTACTAAAGGTAGGTGGAGGTGGAGAAGGGACGGGGGGCAGAAGAGCAGAGGGAGGGTTCCCTTGGCCCTCATGCTGCCTCTGACCTTCAAATCGATGTCCCCAGCAGGCCTTGGCTGATGTCACGTGGGCAGATGGGACTGATCACCCAGGGGAGTGGGCAGGACAACTTTGCACAGGGGTCCCCGATCTCGAGTACCATTGAGAGGCACAGGGCTCTTTTGGGTAAAGCAACAAAAACCCTCGTGTTCTTTGGGCCAAACTTGCCCCCATCCTATCCACGAGGGATCCTGCAAGATGGTTGCCCCACTCGCCAGCTTCCGGGGTGCACCTGGGGGCGTGGTGCCCGACCCCGCAGAGCTCTGCATCTCGAGGCTGGGGGCCACCAGCGGGTGGATGCACAGACGAAGGCACACTGTCATGGCAGCGTGACTTTTTGTTTTTGGAAACAGGAAGAGCACTTAGCAAAACACCTCCTCTGATCCTGAGGGGGTGATGTGGGGTGATGGGAGGCGAAGCCACCTGTCCCCGAGCAGTTCTGGGCGCCTCCCTGTGCCCAGCCAAGAGCGGCCGCACTTCACGTTGCTCTGATTCTCATGCAGCGAGAGACCGCCTTGGTTCCCTTACCTTGTGTCCTATTCTGAAGACCGCGAGTAAGGCTATAAAGGTGCCGTGAGCTTATCCGTCCAACAAGGCTTCATGGGGAAAAGCTCAGACTCAGAATTCATTTTCCACACTTAATGTAAATGTAACCCATAAAAGTTCCATTTCCTAAGAAGCCCAGCTCAAAGGGGAGCCTTGGGCGGAGCTCCCCCCGCCTCCCAGAGCCTCTCGGTGAGTGGTCAGAATGGGGATTAGCAGATGAACCAAGAATGAGATCCTGCACCTGTGCCCCTTGGCTGCCATCTCCCTTGGGTGCACCCACTCCTGAGAGTGATGAGTCCTTCCCCTCAGGCATGGGTCTTCACAGGAACCATTCTAGCTGGGCGGCCCAGGTCCTGGGGTGGGGGTGGGGTGGGGTGAGGCAGCCTCAGCAGGGACCCCTGAAGGACTGCCCCAACTCAGCTCTTTCCAACTTCCTCCTTCCTTTTCCTGTAAACCCTAGTTGGGTTTCTCTGGAGGGGAAGCTTGGAAGGATTTCAGAGATAGCATTTCCCCAAAGCCTCCCACCCCAGCCCTGCTCTGTAAATCACCCCAGTGGATGCCAGAGAGGCCCCGCCAGGAGCTGGTGAGAACAGGGCTGGGCTCCTGCTTCCCTCTCTGCTTGGTTTTTCCCCTTCAGCATATTTGCAGAACGAAAGGCCACCACGCACCTCTCGCCACACTCGGACTTCTAGTGGTGGCGACTGGGCAGTGGAGGGAAGCTACCCAAGGTCCCGAGAAGAGGGTTCCCCTAGGAAAGCAGGCCGCTACCCTTGCCACCACTGGCCCCTCTCTCGGCCGTGGGTGGCCTCTCCCTCCCTGGATATGGTGCCTACTGGGCAGTGCTGGTTTTTCACATCTGACTTTGGGGGTGGGGGGTGTCAACCAACCATACACATCCTGGGTGCCCTTTCCTCCCGGGAAGCATGGGGCTTGGGGCACCGAGATGCTGTCACTGGACATGGGGAAAGGACTTGGGAGGTGTGTTCTCCATCCTGGCATGGGCACACTGACAATTACACCGGGTTTGCTAAAAAAAGGACCAGGGGGTTGTTATTTAGCATAAGAAATATAACGCATGGGGCAGGAGTTTGGGGCGGCCTGAAAAGGTGCCGAGTAGCATCATGGAATTCTCTAGAGCCAGACATCGCCACTGCGGTTCTCTGCAGGCACAGGACACAGTGGAGAAAAAGCCACAGCGCGTCTGCAGGAGTCTTGCCAAGGGGCCAGAGGCCCCTGGAGCCCCCCTCCTCCAGGCTCCCTGGGAAGGCGTTTTGTACTGGCCGATGACTCCCCATCCCCCTGACTCCTGCCTGGCCCCCGTGGGAGAATGAGTTTCACACGAGACAAGCCAGCGCAGACACTTGTATCGCACACCACACTGGGTACCTGGGGAAGGACGGTGACACAGCCCGGTGGTGCATCTCAGAGGGGAGAAACCCTCCAGCTCAAAGGGAACAAAAGACGATCAAGTTTTCATGGTGACCACACTACAGGAAAAAGAAGAAAAACAAAACCCTCTGTTCTTGGCAAAAAAAAAAAAAAAAAAGGGTGAAGGCCAAATTTCTCTTAAAAAAAGTTGCATGAGTTACAGTGCAACGAGTATCTTTTTTGTTTTGCTTTCTGCACTTGTTAAAAAAAGGATTTTTTTTTTTTTTAAGTACAACACAGTCAGATATGCGGCCACAAAAGTGTAGCTGTCTTTGGCAAGAAGTCCCGGCCTCGTCCTCGCTGTCACCTCCGGCCCATCTCACTCTGTCTCATGAAGTGGATGTTGTTGGCGCTGTCCGACAGTTCGGGGTACTGCTCTACAGAGATCACAAAGAAGCCGTCGTAGCCTTGCACCCGCCCCGTGCTCAGCACCTGCTGCTTCTCCCCCTCCGTCCAGGCCCGCAGGCCCTCCTCCCCTTCCCGCAGTCTCTGCTGCTCGCGGGCCCACGCCTGGCGCACGGCCCTCTGCCGCGCCAGCTCCAGCACCCGCGCCTTCTCCTCGTCCAGCGTCGTCCCGTAGCGGGTGTTCAGGCACAGGGCCCCGTACTGGAGCTGGATGTCTGTGTAGCGTCTAGTCCTGCCACCGAGCATGGTGTTGATCTGGGACACGGTGACGTTGACCCCGTTCTCTAGGGTCCGCCGCCCCCCGCTGAGGCCCAGGATGGCCAGGTCGCCTTCTGAGGGCCCTGGCTTCACAAAGTAGTGGGTGTCCACCCCGTCAATGGTGAAGTGCAGGTTCTCCAGGTAGTGGGCATTGTTCAAGATGGCGGCGACCCTCCGCCCATCCTCGTTGGCCACACTGATGATGTCTGTGGTCACTCGGCCGTCCTTTAAGGCAAACTTGACCCCTTTGCCAAAGACGGAGCCGGTGGAGGCGAACTTCTTTGTTGTCTCTGGGGCCTGCTGGCAGCTGGTGACAGTGGAGCCGTAGAGCTGGTCAAAGCGTTCCAGGGTGACGAAGGCCTTGAGCTGCTTCTGCACTTCGCACTGCACGCCGAGGATAGACTGAAGGAGCAGAGACAGAGAGAGAGTAAGACGGGGTGTGTATGTGTGTGTGTGTGGGGGGGGGGCAGAGAAAGCCCCAGGCACCAGGAGTCACTACCTAAACCCTATCCAGCCTCACTAACCTGGAGCAGCTCGCTCCTGCTGAGCATCAGCACACGCTGCGAGCTGAAAGGTTGCCAGTGTGAAACCACAAGTTGCTCCGTGGGAGAGAGATGAGGTTAAAGTTAGA